GCTCCTCCTCCAAACAAGTGAGTCGCGAACTCCGGAGGGATCGCGCCCGCTTTTCCCTTCCCAAAGGCGGGAACGGACGGAGGCGCCCGCGGATCCCGCGATCCCGTCTCCCCCCCCTCCTTCCCGTGACAGCGTGCTTCGTAGGGGATCCCGCGACCTCCGCGCGGTTTCGCCACTGCCCGCCCTGCTTGCTTGCTTGGGGGTTCCTCCGTCTTCGTCCCGATCCATCCCGCCCGCTCGCCCGCCCGCTGACATTCTTCATCCTTTCTCGTCTGAGTCAGTGCTTTTGGGTAGGGGCCAATCGCCCGTCACGAGCTTCGGCATGCGCCGGCGGGGCCCTCCCTTTGCCCGCGAGCCACGTCCAAGCGCGTGGTGCTCTCGAGCTCCGGGTTCGAGTCCCCCGAGGCGCCGGGAGGGGGATGGAAGAGGAAGCAGGTGCGAGGTGCCCCATCAGCTGTAGTCGCGGCGGCACATAACGGGATCCTCACCGCCGACCCCCATTCTTGACCTGCCTGAGTTTGTGGCAGTTGTCTTGTTGTCCTTATAACTTGTGGATGGGGAAGATGGTGGCTTAGGATGTATTGGATGCTCGTTCATGATGCCCAGAGCCTCCTAGGGATGGCACTAGGTGTCTATAGTTGGCCTACTTCGCTGGGTTGTTGTGAGGGGGATGAATAGGGCAACGCATGCCACCTGGAGCTCCTGGGAGAGAGGTGTGCTATACAAGGTGACAGATTAAATTAGAATGAGGCATATGGCCCCGCCCTTCTTTTTAATTCTTTCCTCCCCACAGAATGAAGGGTTGGTTGTAAGAGATGCCAAACAGAATGCCAGTTCGATTTTGGTAAGCCCTGTTTATTTAAGAGAGGTCCCTGCTTTGTTTGAAGGCTGTGACCTGTACCACAACAGATCCATAAAACAGGTGCTGTTCTTTCAGCAAAGATCCGTTGTACATTTTTGGGAGGAGATGTTAATCTTCTTTCCAGGTCCGTGTAGATTTCAGGTCTTCTAGTTATTGAAACAATGTATGTATGTATTAGGGTTTCCCCTGCCCTCACTCAAAGGGGATCACCAAACTTTCTTTTATTTTCACAACAATCCTATGAGGTACATTTTTATTTTATTTCTTACATTCATATCCCAACCTTCTGATGCATTTATGGGAGTTCACATGATGCTTGCTACATGCCTTATACTCACGGTGGATGCTGCTCGCTGTCCATCCTAGACCACTATTGGCTAACTGAATTCTCAGGTTGTTCCCATGTTTTAGTCCTGTGGTTCCTTGGAAGGGATATGCATGCTGTCCCATGCCTGAACAAGGGCAAGCAGATGGTTATCCAACTTGCCACCCATGGTGGTATTTGTGCATTCCCAGATTTAAAAACCCATTCCCACTAATGGGGAAATGCAGATAGCTGTAACCTGGAGTGGAAGTGGGGTTGCTCAGTGCCTTGAGTGTTGAGGATAAGGTGGACCACAAATATGTGGGAAGAGGTATGTAGGAGGATTGTACTTCTGCAACACCCCCCACCCCCAGCCAACCTTCTGGCAATGGTGTAAAGGCTATCAGACAGTGTGTTTGCACCATCATATAAAAAGAAGGGATTTTTGTTGTTAAAAAGGGGGGGGGGGCCGCACCCCCCCCCCAAGCCAACCTTCTGGCAATGGTGTAAAGGCCATCAGATGGTGTGTTTGCACCACCATATAAAAATAAGGGATTTTTGTTGTTAAAAAAAAGGGGGAGGGAAGAGAAAGACAGAACCTAGTGCACTAATTCTGACCTAGCCACTCAAAGCCTATATAGGAAGAAAGTAGGTATTCATCCATAGACACTCACACACACTCCCAATCTTAGTATTTATTTATTTTATTTATTTGATTTATACCCTGCCCATCTGGCCTATAAGACCACTCTAGGTGGCTAGTAGTGTAAATTTTTTAAAAAGAAAAAAAGAGAGAAAATTCTAGGGTTCAAATCCTCACTATAGAAAATGGGTAGCCCTTGCACAGTGATACTTACTACTTGGTGACCTCACTTAGCCCTCTCTAAGTGCTTCAGTAGCAAGAGTGGCCAGGAGAGATCTCAGACTTTATTGTGGGTTCAACTGTCACTCTCCTCCTTTGGACTGAGTTTTCTTGGATACCTTGTTATTGCTTCTAATTTCCCCTTCTTTGCTTGGAATCTCTGCACAGCTTCTTCATAACTGAAAATTAGTCCCACAGATGCTGGGTTAAACATGAACAGTCCATGGGGTGGGAGTGGGTAGTGGAGGTCTACTTGTTCCAGCCCCAAATTTCACACCTATTCTTGATTGGGTCCCTTTTCACACATTTGTCCACATTCCTATTCCTTCCTAGTGGCCATGTTGGATAGAGCTAGTAGAATTATAGAGATCACTAAAGCCTCACCAAGTCCGTGGAGAAAAGTCGCTGCTGGTGAAATAGACCTCATATACTGTACTTCGGTTGTGCAGTGCCAGGTTGGGAAGTTACTAAAAGGATATCTCAATAATATTGACATGGAAGCAGCTGTAGATTCTTACTCCAATCCAAATTAACATGCTTGGTCCTAATTCAGAAACTGTGGTGATTGTCTAAGATGGTGTGATGTAGTGGTTAAAGTGCTGGACTTGGACCTAGAAGATGTGGGTTCACACTTCCTGTCTGTCATGAACATAACTGGGTGACCCTCCACCAATCACACTCTCAGCTTGACCTTCCTCACAAGCTTGTTGTGAAGATAAAAGAGGGAGGAGAAGTGGGCATATTATATTGTCTTGAGTTCTAGAGAAGAAAGTCAAGCTATGGCTGTAACACATGATTAAATTAAATTCATTTAAGCAGCTCCGTCACCTTAGGCCCAGAAGTTCTAGGGAAGAAGTACAGAATGTATAGACTTCTCACTCTGAACTTTGCCACTAATATAGTGTCTTTTAACTTAACTTCTTGTATTCATTTCTAACATACTGCATTTTTACATGGAACTCAATCTCTTTCCTCTCCCCCAGTCTGTCCCTTTAGTCTGGATCAGGAAAAGGTGTAGAAATGATCCCTCTTGCGTATGAAAATGTCTAGGTTAACAAGGATAGAGGAGGTCACTTTTTAGTGCCTTGCTGAACTTTTCTTCCCTCCCCTTACCAGAAATTGACTAATTTTCCAGTTCACACTATTTCTGTTCACTAATGAGAAGAAATTTAAATCTTCAGAATTTCATTAGTTTTACTCTTTATCTCTACATAGCCTTCTCTAGAGGAAAGCCTCTGTATATTTATTCTAATAACACTGCAGATACAATCTTTATTGGCTTTTTGTTTCTTCCTTCCTTTTTTTTCTGACTCTCTCAGGGTTTTGGTTTGGAGGCATATTGGTGGTTGGCATTTTACTTCAGTGCAGGAAGGAGGATGTTTATATATTTTTTTCTTATTGCCAGGGTAACAGTCTGGACATGGAAAATGGGATTTAAAGGGCAAGCAATGCTTCTTTAGAAAGCAAAAAGACCACTGAGGGAAATGGCTTTTTCTTTCATGCCGCTATAATCCTTTTCGGTTTTAATCATTTGAAAAGAAATAAGCTCTAATAAGAATATTAAAATCTAATTTGGAGTCTCGGCAGCAGCAAAAATTAATTTCTCGTGCACATGGCTGGCAATGGGCAACTCCCACAGTTAGCTAAGATCTGGAAAATTGCTGAAAGGGCAGAATTCAGCGCAAGAAGGAAATAAAGCTTAGTTTTGTTAGGTTTTATTAAATGCTGTAGGCATTGTTATACACAGACCACAGTTGTTTTGCATTGCTGTTATTATGTGCTATTAAGTCACTTTTGACATCTGGTGAGTCTAACAATTTTTGAGGTAAGCAAAATGTTCAAGCTTGGTTTCACCAGTCCCACTATCATCCCATGAGTTTCCACAGCTGTCGTGAGAACATCATAACATGCTTGAGTGATGCTGCTCCACGTAAGTCAGAGGTTGGCTGGTTGGACACCGGTAGACCTAAGGATAGGGATGCAGAACAACTCTGTGATCTCTGGCCATTGGCCATGCTAGGCCAGGGCTTCTAGGAATTGAATTCCAAACAATTTGGAAGGCCAAGCATCCTGTCCTGCTGACTTAAGGAGGTGGAGAGGGCTACAAGCAAAGCTGTCTTGAGCTACATTCAGCCTTTGGGTCACCTAGTAAATTCTGCCGGATCTAATGATGAAGGACATATAGTATACAGTGGTGCCTCACAAGATGATTTTAATTTGTTCTGCGAAAATCGTCATCCTGTGAAAAAATTGTCTTGTGAGGTTCCCTATGTATCGGTCTCAAAAAAAAAGTCTTGCGAAGCATCGGTCTCAAAAAAAAAAAAGTCTTGTGAAACACGGTCATAGAAAAAAAGTCTTGCGAGGCACCATAGTGATTGCAAAAAAACAATCGTCTTGTGGGTTTTTGGTCCCACGAGGCAATTGTCTAGCGAGGCACCACTGTATTTTCCACATGCACTTTGTTATCTCTCTCTTTTTCTATGTATCAACTGATCTAAGTTGCATGGTAAGTACAATGTTACCATCTGCTTCACCTAGAGAAAATTAGAAAAATACGTTTTCCTTTTGTTGTGGTAGAGGCAGGGCTATTTGTTGCTTTCCTTGGAAATCTCTGGACCTGCATGAGAATCCAGATTTGTAGCTGATGGGCAATGCAAAATGGCAGCAGTTTACTAAAAGGGAACATGGCATTTCAGCATCCTTCTCAGTCACAGATAGAGGTATGCATTCTTGCACTCGCTTTCAGTGCCTTGATTGTTTTGCTTTCTCTCCATATGTTTCAGAGAATGTCAGGGGAAGTGCCCTTGCACATCAACATCAAGGAGCCACGATGGGATCAGGGCACCTTTATGGGGAGAGCAAAGCATTTCTTCACAGTGACAGATCCTCGCAACCTTCTGCTCTCAAGCAAGACTCTGGAAGACGCACGGAGGGTGATTGAGGATTACAGGTTCTCTTGTTAGTCTGGGGATTGCGTTGGTTCTTCAGGGAGGGGGTAGTGGCAATGCTGAGGGAGATTTAGCCGTAGCTGACCCCAAAAGAGATAATTTATCATGGTGAAATATTTCAGGCATCTGGTATAACTGTGACTCCCCAAGTATCACATCTCTTGCCCAATTTCTGGAAGAGAAAAATCCTTGTCTTTATTGGTTCTCTGGGCTTTTTAAAAATGGTTTTCTGCCACCTGGTATAGTTGCTGTGTTATTTGGAATATTCACACTGAAGCCAGTAGGGTGGGGAAATCAATTCCTAGAGGAAGTTGGTCATTCAGATGAGCTGGGAAACTGAAGCTTGCAGAAGGCTGGAGGAAGGCTGAATTCTTCCAATGTGAGTTTGGGCATAGCTCAAGAGTGTTGCACATCTGGTTCCAAATCAGATGCTTTGAGTTAATCAGGACATGCACAAGGAACCTATTCTGGGCTGTCCATAACAGAGCCTCAGGACAGTCGATGGATATGTGTATTTAAAGAGCAATGAAGCACACAAAGGCTGGAACTACGCCTTCACCAAGATCTGGATAAAACGGTATCTGCTCTGGGTTAGCTGCAAACAGGTGTGCTGTCACCTGTAACAGGTGCACACCTTTAATCTGGCCTGAGTGGGGAGGTGCTCTGCTGCTATGGACATGGCCAGGGCTGGGCGTGACGTCACGTGATGTGGATGTCATGCCCCACTCCCAGCCCTTTTTATTTTTTAAAGAAAAATATTTTTATGTCCATCTTCAGATGTGCAATTTAATTACAGATTTTAAAAAAAGAATGCAGTGGTAGCAAACAGGGGAGATGGAGAAGGGGCATTTATGGGTAAATTCATAATCTTGGATCCTGAGGTCCCTGGAATGTCTGCAGGCTGCCTCCCAAACAGCAAAGGGCCCCTTCTGTTTTATCTTAAGGAACCACCCACATTAAAAATAACTCCTCCAAAACAGACATGAGCGAAAGGGTGGCAATTGGGAGATATCGGGGAAGGGGTGATCAGATGTCTGGCAGGAAAAGGGCAGTTTTGGCCTGCCTGGAACTACAGAATATTTGTAAAGTCTGGAGCAGAAAGGAATGTCTTCGTTTCTGAGTGCTATTGAGTGCTGTTTTGAACTGCACAAGGGCTGGACGTCATGAGCTATGACAGGAGTTGCTGCATATTCAATCTGGTTCTCCTGACAATGTGGTTGCGGCCCAAGCTGTCCACCTTTTGGTTTATCTTGTTCCTTTCTGTATCTGAGGAAGCTGTAAATGCAAGTCACCCTGTCTTCCAGACTGTATTCTTTGGTGCAATGAATTGATCCCTCTCCTCTGGTGAGCTTCACAACTTCATAGTTCTTTTCCCGAAGCTGCTTCCAATTTTTGTTTCTCTTGGTACTCATTCCAGGATGGGAAAGGTGTCCCCAGGATTGACTGAGGACAAGCTATGGCAAGCAAAATACATCTATGACTCAGCTTTTCATCCAGATACTGGTGAGAAGATGATTCTGATTGGGCGAATGTCTGCTCAGGTGCCTATGAATATGACCATCACCGGATGCATGCTCACCTTCTACAGGTATGCACAGAACTCTGAAGTTGCACTCTGTTGCAAGGGCTGTCTTGCATGGGGGGGGGGTCAGGCAGGTGAGACAGCTGATTCCTGGGGGACTCACATACATGCATCAGTTTCATTCATGGATTTTTAGGCATTCTTTTTCTTTAATGAGAGAAAAAAAGGCTGTTACAAAGGTCTGATTTTGATCAGACAGCAGTGCTGGAGGATGGTGGATAACATTCTGTCTGCATGTCCAAGATGCTATGAGATAAAGCAGTGGTAGGGAAATACATAATAAATATGATATGGATACCTGTCCTACTCTGAGCAACATATTGAATTCAGAGTTGATTTTAAGTCAGATAAACTATGTGGGTAATGAAAAGACCCATAGATCTGACCCAGACTTCCTCTCCTGAAGCATGGCTAGTTTTAAAGAGAGGGAAAATATATGTTGGAAGACCAGTTCTCTCTATGTCGAGAGATGCAGAAGATTGCTCTATAGTGGGTGGGAAGCTGGGTGGTATCTGGTCATTTACCTTGGCATCCATGGAAAAGCCTGCTTAGGTTGTAGGATTTTAAATGTTGCCACATTCCCTTTGGGTGCACGTCTATGTAATTAGGTCTGGATTATTGTGTAAACTATGGAGCAGTGACTTTGTGTGTATGGTATTTGCAAGCACAGGAGTAGAATTGTGGCCAACAGTGACATGAACAATGATTCTTCATATGCAGAATTGTAGTGTGGCATTTTTGAATGTGAATTGCTACATATATTCAAAACTGTGGATATATGTCTGTGTGCAAAAGTCAACAAAGTTCTGAGTGTCTGTAGCAATAAGCATGCATGTGAAGCTACTTGTATATTTTTAAGTACATGAATGCCACCTTACCTGTAGAGCATGCAAAATCCTCTAGACCGAGTGCATGAATTATGTGTGGGACAATGATAACATGCAAGTATAGGCAAGACTGTACATGGCAGCGTGCCTGAAAGCGTGTGGTTAAGAGTGTCTGTAACTGAAGTGAATCTGGGGAAATCACAAGAATGCCTCATTGAGTGAATGTGTGCACAGTGAGTGGATGAATAGGTGTCTCCTGCTACCCCTTTGAGAGTTACCATGGCACTCTGGTTTCCATGATGTTTCCTTTTTATTTTGTCTGCTCAGTGGTCTGTTGGAATTCTGATGGTCTCTTTTCCTGCAGGACAACCCCTGCCGTGCTGTTCTGGCAGTGGGTGAACCAGTCATTCAATGCCATTGTCAACTACACCAACCGCAGTGGGGACGCTCCCATCACCGTCAAGTAAGGAGGCACCGTGTGATCCACTCTGATGAACTGCACCAGAGTCCACATGTTTGGCTGGTGCCACCCCAGCAGAAAGCCTGAGCAGTTTCTAAGAAGTCATGTTTTAGGATTCAAACCTGCCATTCAGACCTAGAAAGTTCTGTTTTTAGAAGGCTATGAATGTGAGCTGCAAATATTCCTGATAGGCTGAGGGGCATCTTAACAATGGTGTTCCTAGTAGGACTTACAGAGGAACGTTGCGGCCTCTGATTCAAACAGAGGATGAAATATTACAGGGCCAAATCATGGTACTGAAAACAGATTCTTGCTATAGCAAGATGCTTGATAAGCCAACAAGGTAATGGTTTCCAGATCCGAGTCCTAAACAAAGATGATATTTTAAGAGCGTGGTCAAAAGAAGGGATGGCTTAGCCTTGCCTGTAAATGGCATGGTGGATAGTAGAGAATTGCAGAAGTTGTTGGGCATCCTAGAGGAGAAGCAAGGGAGGGAGAGGTGCGGCAGCAGCAGGGCTGCAGCTGAGACCCGATGTATAGAAGCAGGAAGCAAAGAGGAAAGAGCAACTGTTGGCTGGCCTAGGAATGGTGAGAAGAGATCTAGATATTGTTCCTCATTTCCTTTATTGTGGCAGATCTGAGTGACAGGCATGCTTCCTCCATGCCTCACTTACCAAGTGCTGTTCCTTATGTTAACAGTCACAACTGTGATTAAACAGGAAGAAATTGAGAGTTTCTCCACCTCACAGAGGTTGCTTCCTTCCTTTGCAGCCAGCTGGGTGCAGCCTACATCAGTGCCACCACTGGAGCTGTAGTGACGGCACTGGGACTCAAGTCTCTGACTAAGGTAAGGAAGGAGCTGGTTTTGTCTGTCTTGCCACAGAGGGGAGTTGCTCCCAGAGGAAGATCCCACTGCAGGCTAGAGAGGAACTCCTTATAGCTGGGAGGGAATTCCTGCTCTCTGACATTAACCCAAGCTTCTGCTGGTGGGAAATGACAGTAGCTGTCATCCAGTACCTCTGCAGGGTATTAGGTATTAGGCTGGAGAAAGCTAGCTTAGGTAGTATTATATATGACCTCCATTATATGGAGCTTCTCTTTCTCTTTGATTAGTGCACAATCTGCCAGTTTCAATGGGCATAGATGGAGCCTATTGAACACATTTATTTTTGAACAGTCAGTGTGTGCAGATACCATATAGAATCATGCTGTGGTTTTTTAAAAAAAGGTGAGTTGTGTATTTTCACAATCCAGGCTGTCTACCCTTTTGTCCTGCATCTAAGCTTTTGCACGGATGAACCCATTGACACAGGGCCGCGGCATTTTGTTATGTCTGTGGGGGAAACAATAGTCAAAAAACGGTGATGAGACCCATCCAGGGATACACAGGGAATTAGTGGCAAAGATAAAACTTCATTTTTCATGACCTGGGCCTTTGTGTTGTGAAATATTTATCCTGTTACAAAATTAATCAATCTTGCCTCTTCTCTTTGGTAGCATTTGCCACCCATCATCGGACGCTATGTGCCTTTTGCGGCTGTGGCGGCTGCAAACTGCATCAACATCCCATTAATGAGACAAAGGTAAGATGGTCTGGTGTGTGTTAAGTGGAAAGGATACTGGGGGTATTGTTTTTGAAGTCCAACTCCTGGTCATTTATTACAGCCTTTGTGTATTCCAATCACCCGTACTGTTGGGTGTCTTTCTTTACCCTCCTGTCCTTGTCAGTGTAGCAGACACAATCCAATTGATCTGTAATAATAGGTGCTTAGTTAACAACCTTGGAAAACACTTTAGCATTCCAGAGCTGCCAAGAGCGAATAAGTATAGAACAGGGGTGGGGTGAGTGGGAATAAAAGATCACTTCTTATTCAAACTCTTTAAATAGAGATACTTCTGCTTTCTTTGATGCTTTTGTAATAGTAATTTTTAAAAAAGTTAGTTTGCTTATATTTTGCCTTTGTTTTCCCACAGCCATCAAGGCAACATATTTCGGGTGACCATACAGTCTCCCACCCAGATAGTGACCAGAACTAGGCCTGCTTAGGTTCAGCAAGATTGCTGCACCATTTGTCCTCAGATCAGAAGCTAAGGTCAATGTGTGAGGGTCATGACCCAAGGATTGCAGGTAGTGATGGGGAGCAGGCAGAGCACTGTATGCCAGTTGTGGATGAAACCATGATTCACGTGCAACCCCCATCACACGCCACTCCTTCCTCCCTGTACCACACACACATTGCATCTCATTCTGGCACTCTTGTAGTTTCTCGTAATTGTTTCTAGCACTAATCAAGTGGGTAGCGGGGAGAAAAACAGGATAGGGAAGTGTGGAGAAGGTGAAATGGAATGAAGCTGCACTACCTTGTCAGGTCATCCTATGCCACTTCATTCTCAGTTATCTTCTTCCTGAGAACCGAAAGGGCAGACATCATCTACTATTTCTGTCCCTAATGTGGGAAGGGTGGGTGTACATAGCAGAATCACAGCACTTCTGATGGCAACAGAAAGATTGCAAATTGCTATACATTGTACACATATTTTTTTTTCTCTGCAGGGAGCTCAAGTTTGGTATCCCCATTACAGACGAGAAAGGGAATCGGCTGGGTGAGTCAAAAAAGGCAGCTGAGCAAGCAATCGCACAGGTGGTGGTGTCTCGCATTGGCATGGCTGCACCTGCTATGGGTAAGTAGTACTCCATGGATAGCTATTTGTTTCAAGGATGGGAAGAAACATCTGAAATGAAGTTCCACCAGTTGTGTCTTTGTTTTGTTTTTGTGGCTGTGAAATATTTGTGGCTGCTGTGGGGAGGGAATGATAACTCAGTATTAACGTGTTAACTTGGTATTGGGAATCACAGTGCTTTAGGCTTGGTGCTTTTCAGCTGTTTTGTGTCTGGGAGGTTTTGATGTGAAATCTTGTTAGCCGAGCATTGTTGGGTTATTATAGCATGCCAAATCCTGTAATTTTTGAAAAAATTACAGGTCGAAGGTGAAATGCAATTTGACTGTGTTATTACATGCCAGCTGTCAGGTATTGTGTCTATATTTTGGATAGAGTTTTGTCTTTATTTTTTATTTTTCTTTTATTTGTGGCCTCAATACTTAGGGAAGATCTGCATGCTGGGAGAACACGGAGTTTATTTAGTATCAGAGTTTGCAAAGCAGAATTTTGAGGAATGTGCTTACTTCAGCTCTGCTTTTGAACCTGAAACAATAGAAACTTTTGTCATTGTGTCCTGGAAATTCTAGGTTACTCTTTGCTAGCTAAAAGAGAGCTGCAAATCTCACTGTAATATTAGGTTAGATTAACTTCAGCCAATTCTAGGAGATCTTAGAACAACTTTCCCCAACATGGTGTCCTCAATGTATTTTGGACTACAACTCTTAGTATCCTTAACAATGTGCTGTTTGGGACTGATGGAGGGTGTTGTCCAAAACATCTGGAGGGTACCAACTTGGGGAAGGCTGTTGGAGTAAGCCAACCATTTGGAAGAGTTCCCTGCATTCCTTCCTTTGGGAGACTTCCAGTTGGGTAGGTGTAACGTCCATCTTTCTATTTTGTTTTTTCTCATCATAGCGATTCCTCCTGTGATCATGAATGCACTAGAGAAGAGAGCATTTTTAAAGGTAAGTTTTTGTGTATCTTGCTTGATTTCACAGGTCTCCATGTGGAGAAGGATGTGCTTCATTTCTTGACATGGGAACACCCCACTCCCACATTTGAAAAAATTGTTATACAGAAGGTGGCGGGCATGCAGTGAGGAATAGAAGTGGTTACTTGTTAACTAGCATGATTTGCTGCTGTGATTTCTACCATTGCCCTTACAGGCGCACAAATAACCCATAGGATTCTGGCCGTTATTTTATCATTTTGTCATTGTGATGTTCACCCTAAGAAATATTTTCGTGAACAGTCTTCCATTACATTTCAGTTTCCTGTGGACCACTAGTGGCGCATATCTTCCTCAGATTCCAGTACTTCATGTATGAACTTGTAATGCCCTTTAACCTTTCCTGGGTTCTTGCCGTTGGTCTTCATCATTTACTCTCCTCCTCTGTAGGCAGGTTTTCCCAACCTGTTGCTCTCCAGAACTGTAGGATTGAAATCCCCATCAAACTCAGCCAAAATAGCACACTGGTTGAAACTGATGGGTGGGTTGTGGTCCACCAGTACTGGAGAGCACCAGGTTGGAGAAAGCTGACTAACAAAATCATCTGAAATAGCACAGCACTGCAACATGGACCCCCTAATTAAAGAACATCTGAGCAACTAAACAAAGGACACATAGGTTTTGGTAATAACATAAGGCAATTTAAGAGTACGTAGTTTGCCACATCAGTGACATCTGAAAATATGTAATTCTTCAGTCCTAAAGGCCTATGAGTGTTGACTGGGAAGTGATTTATTTCTGCTTCAGCAAAACCTACATCTAGTCCAAGTGTGTACAGAAGAGGTGTTTGGTGGAGCAGTTTCTCAAGTTGGCTGACTGCATGCTTGAAGTAAAGCTGATTATAAAAATTTCAAAAGAAAAAAATGGCTGAACCCATTTCTCCACTGTCTTGCTTGCGTGTCTCTGTGTCTGTCTGTCTGTATTATTTCATTTCATATTTTAAATTTACCTTTGTTGTCGTAAAAATCATCTCATCACAGCCAGTTAATTCGAACTTGGAAAGAGTTCAATCGAATTTTAAAATAATTTATTTAAAATTCATTATGGATAAACATTAATTGTTGTTCGTTTTCTTTAATTTCACCCAACAGTTTAAAAAACATGTATATTCAAGTACATCAGTTTTTATTTGGATTAATTTATTAGGGCTTCACTTAGGATTAATTTGCAGTTCCAGCATGAAAAGTTTCGTGCAGTCTGTTAGCCAGGCAGTTGCAGGGGATGGAATTCAGGGCTTCCTTGAGGACTGATGGTCTCCAGAATCATAAAGGCAGGGAGGACGCCATGTACAGAGTCCCTTAGGAAGGTCTACCAGGAAGCTATACAAGCTTCAGGACACTAGAACATGATGACAATGATTAGAACAAGGGTCTTCATTTTTACAGCTAATAGTAAAAGTTTTCATTGTACAAAAAAAGGAGCTTGGAGTGAGACTAATTATTTGCCAGTGATTTTGGGTGCTGTGAATGTTTACATGATTTTTTCCCCTGAGATGGTGAGGAGTTGCAAAGAAAGACTTGTGGGCTGCATGAAGCCCATAGGTGCTATTTCCCCCTACCTGGTGTATAAGTTTAGAACTGGCAAGATTTCCCCTTATCATGCAAATGTAATTCCAAATGCAAGAATAGGTGATTCCATCATGCAGTTTGTCTGTGGCGGATGAGGGAACTGAACTCATATCACTTGACCCCAAACCCTGAGGCTATTATTTTTAATTTTTAATGTTATTGGTTTAAACATATACCTTGCCCCTTTAGTGGACAAGGGCGGCTTCCAGGAAATAAGAAAAGTGTACAGTACAACAAGGGCCAGCATAAACACAGTACAAAATTAATGGTACAAAGGGGTGAGGTTTGTAAAGGCCTGGGTAAAAATTTAGGTTTTCAGTTGCTTATGGAAGCGCAGGAGGGTGGAGGCCAATCGTACCTCCCCAGGGAGGAAGTTCCAGACTGGAGTGGCCACTGCTTTTATTTTTATTTATTTATTTATTTATTTATTTATTTATTTATTTATTTATTTATTTATTTATTTATTTATTTATTTATTTATTTATTTATTTATTTATT